GTTCCTGACCACTGGGGATTTCCTCCATGAGGGAAGGTAATGGCTTGGCTTGGCCAAATTCCATACTAGAACCTTATCTGAGCATATCATACACTCTGGCTTGGCATGAAAGAGGAGGTAAGCATGCCCCCTTCTTGAACCATACCAGGCCACATACATTCAAGGCAGAGAGGGAATCACCTTGTACTAGTATCCATGTTTAAGAGGACAAAGACCTTTTCCCTGGCAATTCTGGCCCAGTGGTTGTTGTAAGTTGGGGGCTTTATCAGAATCTGGAAGCCCCTTTTAAAATAAAAGAACCCCAAGATATCCACCTCCTCTATAGGAATTAGGAAGGGGTACATAAAGTAAATACACACATACTGTAGACACACTCAACTGTAGACAAGTCCCAACATGATTATCCAATATCAATAATTTTGCCTACCAATGTAGATCCATGTCAATGGAACAACTCTCACTGACCCACTGCTGAAAGAAAAACTGTGCCACCTGCCAAGAATATCTGCTCCCGATGACTGTTTAGCATGAATGACAGCCCCCTAGCTGACAGCTGAATGTCTACAGAGAGGCAGGGTACCCCTAAATATGTCATTGAGAAAATGAGGACATGACCCTTCACCAGATTCCCTGTGTTGTCATTGACCAAATATGGTCATGCCAAAATTTAACAATTAATCTGAGCAGGAAGCGGTTACATTTGGCAGTGGTAGTAATTCCTACTGCAAGCAGCCAAAGGTTTGGTTTGGCTGAACACCAGATTTAGTTTGGCTGCTCACATAGCTTAACACATTCAAAATTTGGACCAAATATGGGTTCAGTTTGAGCTTGAACTCATCCCTATTTAGGATAGTCTGAACTGGAAAAAGAGGAACAGCCATTAGTCAATGTATCTAATAACTAAGTTAAAGAATCCATTTTCATTATGCGTATAAATAATACTAACTGTGTAGTTTCTAAACCTAAAAGTAAGATTTCAGTGTAATAAATAAACTAATCCCCCCTCCTTCTAGACAATCAAAAACTTGACTGGCTAATTGTTTTTTTTTTAATGGCATATATTACTAAGCAATTATAAAGATGAGTTCCTTCATCTATGAGCATTTTTCTTTAATTGGCAAGTTAAACTTTAGCAAGCCAAATTAATTGCTTACATATAAATTAACTAGCAATTACCAATTACATAAGTAAAGCTACCTGATGTTCAGGAAATAGTGTTTTTCCCATTAATAGGAATACATTTCACCATCTGGAAAGACCATTTGCAGGCAGGTGCTATACACTATGTAAACACTTTAGGACTAAATGCTTTAGAAAAGTAGAAGTAAATTCTTAATCTTAATTGTATAAGGCTGTTAAAAAAGTGTTACTTGATACATCTGCCAGGTTTACATGTGCCTCCCCAAGGGGAGCAGATAACTCAAATTAAACAAAGTGTAACTAATGAGCTATCAAGTTACCTACATAATTTATTTGCGAATCCCATTCAAGGGGTACTAAATATAAAAATTCTGTTTGTTTGTTGATATTAATTATGTCCTCCATTGCACTATGAAATAGTTATCACTCAAAAACAACAGATTAAAGTATATTACTAACAAGGAAAGGTATTTGCAAATTTAGAAATAAAATGTTGCATGCTTACATTATTTTCATATCAACATTATTTTTTCTACCAGCTGCAAATTTCTTTTTTTGGTGATCTGAATTTCAATTGATTGAATTGGCATGAGCTATTAATATCAAAGTGCTGTTCTCTAACATGCATGTTTACTCTCACTATATTACAGTTGGCATATATTTTAAAGTGGTATTAAACCAAAAAATCAAACATTTATTATATTGCAGCTTATCAATTCTTAGATGTAATAGCTGCATCTGTTTTTTGTTTTTTTTCTAGGCTTTCCTCCATTTTCATCTAGTGACCCAGCCAGTAAATATGTTGTTTTTCAAAAGAACAAGCTCTCCAGTAGAATGTATCAGTTACAGAGATGAGACAAACCATTTAACACTAGCAGGGGTGTTTACAACAATCAGATTTTATTTATTCATGTAAAACCTTTTTTCCTAAAATGAAAAAAAAAAAAACTGCTGTAATTGCTTATAAAGTATTATCTGCAGTTTGGCTTCAATTAGTTTAGTGTATTTAAATCTGCTATTACATCTAACTTCGTTCCCTCCAGACTGACAGTGCTGCTGTGCAGAGGTGCCCAGTGTGCTCACTCATCCAGAGTGGGGGCAAAGGAATGCATGAGGTGTATTATTGGCCAGATCACCAAGTGAAAACAAAGCGAAAAAGCCTGAGAAAATAAAACTGCTGCAGCCACCACATCTAAACATTGGCAAACTGCAGTATATTACACTTTTAGTTTTGGGTTTAAAATCACTTTAAAGCTAAAGTTTTATCTGCTTATATTTTTTTCTTTCCTAACACCCCCCACCCCCCTCCACATCAACATGCTAATCTTTAAATAAACAATTCATTTTTCATGAAATACTTTATTTTATGCCCAGTAACATCATCACTGAGTCCCTGTGCTTTTCAAAGCATAGCAGGGAGCACACAAGGTCATGGCTGGTGGGAGGGACCATCAGAGTGGTGTACATGCATGAAAATATACATACATGAAAATATCACAGCACCCTAATTCTGTACTCACCATAGCACACCCTAACACAGTCGAATAGCCCCTATGAGGAGTTTTGAAAATATAAAAATGCCTTTCTGGGTGGGTGTCAGTCAGGAGGATTGGGCATTCCTAGGCAGTTACATTTGCATGGAGCTAGTTTTAAAAAAAAAAAATTCAATACATGCTTTATTTTAGACCCAGTGACATCGGGTCTCTGTGCTTCTCTATGCATTTAAAGCAGTTCTTGGCTTGTGGGCGAGGCCAGCAGGGTGCTGTACTTACATGAAATTGTACATACTTTTAACTATCACAGCACCCTAACTCAGTACATATCTTTGGAGCCCTCAACTCTGATGTAAGCAGTCGTGTAGCCCCTGTAAGGAACTTTGAAAATATGAAAATGCCTTTCTGGGTGGGTGTTAGTCAGGAGGATTGGGCGATCTAGATGGGTTACATTTACATGCAGACTCCCTTAGACAATGCCCACATATGATGCTGGGCCTTCTTGATTAAAGTGGAATTTAACCCATAACAAGTTGATATAAAATAATGTTCTTTACATACATTCCACATTAATAACGATGCTACCAAAATTAGTGTGTGATGCAAATTGTCTCCAGAATTGCTCCTGTTTCTTCTTGCTGGAGGCTGGCATTTTGCTGAAGCCCAGAGCCTCTTAGCAGCAATAAAAACATTATGCTGTCAGCAGACTGGATGCTGTATTGCACTAGTGACAGTTTGTAAAAAAAAAATTGTGAAAAAAGCAAATTTTATTTAATTTCTTCATTTTCAAAAAAAACTGTGACAAAAAAATTACAATTTCAAAAAACTTACTATGCCTCTTACTAAATACCTAAGACTGTCTACTTTCCCATTTGGGGGGTATTTTTACTGTTCTTGCATTTTAGGGCCTCAAGAAATGAAAAAGGCCATCAGTATATCAGGACTGATCAATTTTCAAATATATATCCAATAGTTTGTAGACGCTATAACTTTCACACAAATCAGTTATTATGTACTTGGGATTTTTTTTTACCAAAAATATGTAGCAGAATACATTTTGCTCTAAATTTATTTTGGGTTTATATAATAAAAAAATAAAAAAAAACCCAGTGGTGATCAAATACTGTATCACCAAAAGAAATCTCTATTTGTGTAAAAATAAATTATATAAATGTCAATTGGGTACAGTGTTGCATGACCGATCAATTGTCAGTTAAAGTAGTGCAGTGCCAAATAGCAAAAAATGGTCTGGTCATGAAGGGGGTAAAACCTTCTGGAGCTCAAGTGGTTAAAAGAATTAAAATCCAATGAATGAAAGGGAAAGGCCAGGGACAGTTAAATGGAGAAGAAAAGGTCTCCTTAATGTTGGACATCCTCCAGTCTGGAAATGATGGAGGTTCTATGCAGCCTCTAATGTTGCTTACAGTGTTCAGTAAAATCCCGCAAAGCAAGTTCATGACTAAAAGATCTGTCAACCTCGGTCCTTAAACCTGTACAATAAACATGGGTTTTAAATGGTCATAGCACACTTTTGATTGACAAATGAATAAACAACATCAACTAAAACAATTTGAACAATGCAAATATAACAATGCAACGAGGAAAGGGGTCTTTGGGTGTCCCTAAGGCTCACTTTATCACTGTTAGTCAATTAGGATGCTGCACTGCCACTCCTAAACTGTGAGACTCTGGTTGTGGTGTGAGAATTAAATAGCAAAGTGATATGTAGTTCTACAATATGTGATCACTCTAAAGGTGACATATGTCAGTGGTGCATCCCTACTTCCAAAATGAACTGTGTTAGGGTAAACCATATGACATAGTGCTACAATGCACCTCCCTCTCAAGGGGAGCTTAAACAACCCTTTGTGATGAAAATTAAAATACATATATTGTTTGTGTTATAATGCATGCATAAACCCCTAAATAACATTCAATGTGACGGGGACTACAGTACACCTCCCCTAATAATAACAACACACTATGTAATAATACTAGAACCACATATAATACACTTAGGACAAAATATATAATGAATAATAATAATAAATAATGAAATGCCATAAACCATAAATAACAAAAAATCATTGTTGTGTCGAACTGCAAAGATGTAAAGATTGCTAATCACCTTGCCCCAAAGAGCACTGCAAATAAACTAAGAGATCCTTATAAAAAAGTGTCCTTAACCACAAGCCTACAGGGCACTTATACCCCCTTCCTGCCCAGGCCAATTTCCAGCTTTCAGCGCTGTCACACTTTGAATGACAATTGCACGGTCATGCAAAACTGTACCCGTATGACATTTTTATCATTTTTTTGAGACAGATAGAGCTTTCTTTTGGTGGTATTTAATCACCTCTGGGATTTTTATTTTTTCTTAAACAAACCAAAAACCACTGAAAATTTTGAGAAAAAAAAAGTTTTTTCTTAGTTTTTGTTTATACAATTTGTAAATAAGTGATTTTTCTCCTTCACTGATGTGCGCTAATGAGGCTGCAGTGATGGGCACTGATAGGCTGCACTGATGGACACTGATACATGGCACTGATGGGCACTGATGTGGAGGCACTGGTAGGTTGCACTGATGGGCATTGACAGGCATCACTGATGGGCACTGAAAGGCAGCACTGATACATGACACTGATATATGGCACTGATAGGTGGCACTGATAGGCAGCACTGACTGGCACTGATAGGCGGCACTGACTGGCACTGTTAGGCAGCACTGACTGGCACTGATAGGCGGCACTGACTGGCACTGATAGGCGACACTGACTGGCACTGATAGGTGGCACTGATTGGCAGCACTGATAGGTGGCACTGACTGGCACTGATGGGTGACATTGAAAGGCAGCTCAGATGGGCACTGATATGTGGCATTGATGTGCACTGGTATGCACTGATATGTGGCATTGATGTGGCACTGATGGGCACTGGCAAGAGGCACTGATGGGCACTGGCACTGATGAGCACTGACAGCTGGCACTTCTGGGGCCACACTGATCATCAGGGCACACTGATCATCAGTGCCCTGATGATCAGTGTACATGTTCCCTCCACAGAAAGCCGATTACCGGCTCTCCTCTCGAGCTGTCAGCATGACAGCTCGAGAGGAGAGAAATGCTGATAACTGGCATTTCCGTGTTTACATGTGATCAGCTGTGATTGGACACAGCTGATCACATGACCGAGCCGACATCTTCGGCTCTTTCCGTGATCCCCTGTGTCCGAGGGACACAGCGGACTGGCGATCGCCGCGCTCCCTGAGCTGCGCATGCGCAGTGAGAATGGTAGGACATCATGTGGCGTCCTATCAGAACAAGAGAACCAACTTGCGCCCGTCATTGTACTATAGGGAGGGCGGAAGGTGGTTAAAGAACAAATCAATACATAAACAAATTGACATTTCAGTTCATATTAAAAAGTCCTGGTGCTACAAAACACCTTCCACATCTAAGTTGTCAACGTGACTTAGTGATATGATGGTGATCTTGACAACAGATATTTTTGATGAATGCTTCACTCGTGCTCCTCCTACAGAGCCCCACTCACTGCAGGTATTGACCACCTATGTTGCGGTAGGGCAAAAAACACTTTTGGGTGCTTCAATAAGACCCTGGAATGGACCAGCCTCCTGTGCACTTCTGAAACCTCTGACCACTGAACCTGGAGTCCTTTCATTAAGAAGAAAACACTCCAAACGACCACTATTCTTCTCCACCGCAATGAAAGCAATCAAAGAGAGACTTCCATAGCGTTATACCATATTTATTTGGATAAAAACATTTAAAAATGCACTTACATCATATCCATGTGTATGGCATAAACCATTATGTCCTAGGACGCTGATACTCTCTGTAAACACTCTCGTGTGGACTGAAAGTGACGCTATTAGACCTTTCCAACGCGTTTTGTCATATGACATCATCAGGAGCAGAGCTAAATCACCCCACTGTGAAGTTATATATACTGGCTACTCTCCTAGCAATGCTTAGTATTTCCTGGTGGCCGCCATAATGTGGTAGTCCAGCCCTTGAGTTTTCCTGTATGCATTTACCCAAGCAAGAGGCCTTGTTACTGGAGTTCAAACTCCATCCAACTAAATGATAAGAACATGTATTGCATCCCTATTTGTTGGGGGATTGCCCAAGGAATGATTGGCAGGTGTCCCGATGTAATAATTGAGCCAGGCAGAGCCCCATATGCCATTCAATACTGGACGCCATGTTTATGGAGTCCCGATCTGTATACCCAAATGAAGCAAAAAATATGAATATGTTGTTGTGAGTTGTGACTCCAATTGTAACTCTAGCCAGAAGAGATTCAGGAATATAGTTGCTTCACAGAATGTTTTGCTTATTTAAACAAAAAGAAGTTAGACTTTTAAATTGGACTCAAAGAAATGACGTGTAGTACCCCAATTAAAAAGGAAGATGCCGCCCAAACCAGCCTGATCCTAATTACGTTGTTGGCCTCAGCTGGGCCTTGGTCACAGTAACCTCTTTGACTGCGTCAGGGCATGGTTGGAGCAGCAGCAAAGGCTACATCGTAACTAGGATCAGGCTGGTTTGAGCGGTGTTTTCCTTTATACTACTTACACCTCTGAATTGGTGCACTCTGATGCTCATTCCCATTTTTTTGTTTTTTACATACTGTGACCAGGGCAATACAGTGTAACAATAGTAACACTGTACTACTCTGGCGAAGTGATGAGGATTTTTTTATGCTATGATTGCTTATAGCAATGATATTCATTGCTAATAAGCAAGCATTTTTACTAAATAAAATAGATTAATTCAGTGGGTATTGTTGTTACTAGTTGTGATTGGCCAAATCTAATCACATGGTACAGATGGGCCGTGATTGGCCTTTTCTGTACCATGTGATTACTGTGACCAATCACACCTAGCAACACAATTTTACACGATGAATGGCATGAATTGAAGCCATTCAGTGTTTACAATTGTTATGTGCTCTGCTGTAATTGGTCAGTACACTGATCAGTCATCAGGTGACAGATCGTGCCAGAGCATGGCCCACCAGTCCCACGCAAGGTTCATTCTGGGGAGGACGTCATATGATGTCCACCCAGAATATTAGGGTTCCCTCTCGACCATCCTTTTACATTGGCCCGAGCAGGAAGCAGTTTAGGAACATGACACTATAAACTGGCGCTGGAATGACTCAAAGTGGTTGTAAAGGTAAAAGGGTTTTATACCCTAATGCATTCTCCGCATTAAGTTGAAAAACCTTTAAATAGTTGCTCTCCCTCTGCGCCCTCCCTTAAACACTTATCTGAGGCCAATGTCGATCCAATACTGTGCCTGCCTTCAGCATGTTTTCTCCCCTCTCTCTCTTCTCACAGCAGACTCAGCAGCAGTGGGATCCATTGGCTCCTGTTGCTGTCAATCAAATCCTGAGAGCAGGTATAATGGGCAGGGCTGAGCCACACTATGTGTGTCTATAGATGCACACAGCCATGCTCAGGATCGAGCCTGCACGTCAAGTGGTTTGCTATAGGGGAACTTGGAGAAGAAGAGGAGAGGACAGTGCTAGTGGGGCACCCCAAAAGAGAAGGTTTGGGGCCAGTTTGTGCAAAACCACTGCACAGGGTAGGTAAGTATAACATGCTTGTTTGTTTTTTAAAAAAAAGCCTTTACAATAACTTAAGCTATAAGAATATATTTACTTGAATAACTATCATGCAAAACTAAAGTATCAGTTTTGAGTGGATGATCTTTTCAGTAGAGTTATACCCAGTGTTCAGCTGCTCTACTCTCCCTCTTGCTGTTTGCCAAAAAAAACACTAACACTTAATACTTATAATTTTAAAGAATAGGATTATTTCCAAGAACTGACAGGCAGTGATTCTGGATCAAACCAAAATCTCTTTGATGAAGGCAGAAGCAATTTCTGCGGCAGAAGGAGTCCCTTTCAAGGGAATGAAGTGAGTCATCTTTGATAGGCGGTCAACTACTACAAAAATAGTGGTGAATCCCTCCGATAGGGGAAGTTCCACAATAAAATCCATGGAGACCATATTCCAAGGTTTTTCCGGTACGGGCAAAGATTCCAACAGGCCCCAGGTCTTGGCTTTGTCAGATTTGTTTTTAAGGCAAACTGCACAAGATTTCACATAGTTCTGGCAATCTTTCATTGAGTTTGGCCACCAGAAGAAACGAGAGACCAAATTTGAGGTCTTGTGGATCCCGAAGTAACCCGCTAAGGAGTGATCGTGTAACACCTTTTGAGGATAAAAGTCCTGAGTACTTCGGGCACAAAGATTTGTTCCTTATGAAAATACAGACCGTCCTTTAGCTGAAGATGCATATCTATGGAGGGTGAATGATTGTCCACCACTTCTCTTATTTGTGTTACAAGGTCTGTCTGCAGAAGTAAAAAGTTCTTGGCTGGCAAAATCGTGTCAGGTTCAGACTGTACGATTGGGTCGGGAAACATACGGGAGAGTGCATCGGGTTTACGTTCTTTGATCCAGGATGGTATGTCAAATGAAAGACAAAGCGGGAGAAGAATAGTGCCCATCTTGCTTGTCGTGGCCTTAGACGTTTTGTCGTTTTCAGATATTCAAGGTTTTTGTGCTCTGTGAAGATGAGAATAGGATGGGATGCTCCCTCCAGTAAGTAGCGCCATTCCTCAAGTGCTGCCTTGATGGCTAGCAGTTCTCTGTCTCCCACATCATAGTTCCTTTCAGAGGCATTTAACTTCCTGGAGAAAAATGCAACAGGGTGCAGAAGGGATTTGAGTCCCTGTCTTTGTGACAAAATGGCTCCTACAGCATTCTCAGAAGCGTCCACTTGGAGGACAAAGGCTAGAGCAGGATCTGGGTGCTTCAGGATAGGTGCGGAGGTGAACAAGGTCTTTAATTGTTCAAATGCTGTTTGGGCCTCAGGAGTCCACCTGAAGGGAATATGTTGCCTGGTAAGCCGTGTTACTGGTGCGATGATCCCAGAGAAGTTTTTGATTAATTTCCTGTAGAAATCCTACGAAACGTTGCACTGCTTTCCTGTCTCCTGGAACGGGCCATTCTAATACAGAGGAACCTTTTGGGGGTCCATAGAAATGCCCTCGGGGGTGATCACAAGTCTGAGGAACTGAATAGTCTGTCTCTCAAACTCACATTTTTCAGCCTTTGCATAGAGGTGATGTTGGCGTAATCTATCCAGAGTATTTTTACATGATCCCGATGTTTTTCTATTGAACTGGAAAAAAACAAGATGTCATCCAGGTAAATGATAATGAATAGATCCAAATAGTCCCAAAATATATAATTTACAAGGTGTTGAAAGGTTGCTGGGGCATTACAGAGACCAAAAGGCACCACAAGGTATTCAAAATGCACGAAGCGAGTTCGAAAGGCCATCTTCCATACGTCACCTTTGCGAATTCTAACTAGATTGTAAGCGCCTCTCAGATCCAGTTTTGAGAAGAAACATGCTCCTTGTAACCTTTGGAATAACTCAGGAATTAGGGGAAGGGGATAATGATTTTTGACCGTTATCTTATTCAGGTCACGGTAGTCCACACAAGGTCTGAGGGTGTGATCCTTCTTCTCGGATAGGGGGTAAATTCGTCCGAAAGGAATTTCGGCACCGGGCAGGAGCTCAATCGGACAATCATAGGAGCGATGTGGAGGAAGAATATTGGCACTCTTTTTATTAAATACATCCAGATAATCATTGTAAACAACAGGAACGAGTTTCATGGTCTCGGGATCAGAGTGAATACTAAGAAGAGGGGTTGCTGCGCTTGGTTCTTTAGGAATGCAGTGATTCAGGCAGTATTCCGAAGGAAAGAGGATCTCTCCAGACAACCAATTGATGGTTGGGTTGTGTGCTCTTAGCCAGGGCATGCTGAGAATAACTGGAAATATCGGGGAAGTAATAATATCCAGACACAGAAATTCCTGGTGTCCCGAGGAGGTGAGGCATAACATTGGCACAGTCTCTTGTATCACAGGGCCAGAACTGATACTGGAGCCATCCGCTAGATGAACCAAAAGTCTTTGTGCCTTGGTACGGAGCGGAATCTTATTCTGGGTAGCAAAGTTTGCATCCATAAAACAAGTACAAGCACCCGAGTCTATAATGGCCGGGACAGTGATCGTCCTTTCGGCCAGTTGTAGTTGAAGGTGAAAGGAGAGATGCGTTCAGCTTGTTCCTTGGGGATGCATCATATAGAACCAGCTGGGAGAGGGCTTATGAGGTCTTATTGGACATGTCACTATATAATGA